AGTAGCAAAATCTCCCCGATGCGTGCACTGTATTTTTGGAGCCTATTGTGTGTAAAAATGTGCATCGCAACAGTTTGCTTCAGTGTGAATTGGACCTCAAAAACATAGATAATTACAGATGGTATAGGTCACTGTTAGACATTTTATGTCATTGTTTTCATCATTTTTTTCCCTTCTTAAGCTTCCCATACATAAGTAGAATTTTTGGTTTTGAAAAAAAAATTCAAAATGTTTGTTTAATTTTCTAATAGTTAATAGGTTTAAATCAGCAATATGCTATACAATCCAATGTAAAAATCAAACAAAATTTTGAACGACATTCTACAGATCTCTGATGGCATTATCTAATGTTCTGATGAGATTTTTTACATGAAATTTTGTTCGAAAATCTACCAGTATATGGCCAGCTTTGGGCTCCATTCACACTAGCACTCCTGTATTTAGGTTATTTAAATGAAGGAGGAATTATCTGAGAGGTATAAACAAACTTTATGCTTCCCAGATCACTTTCTTCTGCATTTAGATGTACCTGCCTTTTTGTGGGTTAAGCCGCATGTATGTGCGCTTTAGAATTTCCAATCGGATCCTGGGCACACAGAATTCTCTTTTCTCTGAGTAAACCCAGGTAAGATTGGTAGATAGATGTCACCAGAACACCAAAATCATTAGAAAAAAACAATTTATTAAACCCTGGTAAACACCCAGTTTGAATAAGAGCAATACAATCACATGCATTTATTTGCATTTAGAAATCCTATAAACACATACAAATGCATATTTTTAAATGCTAGTGTGAATGAAACCTGACGATTGTTTTTTAGCCAAGCCTTGTATGCCATGCTCTGTGTGATTGCATTACCATAAACCTCACTGACTTCTCTGAAATGATGATTTCACTTGCAGAGTGTTAATGACAGCAGCCTCCCTTTGATCTGTCATTTGGTATGTGGCTGCTTCTTTCTGTCACACGCTGCTGCTTGGTGTCTTAATACGGCTCTTGTTAGAGCTTTGATTTGCTGCTGTGTCAAAGACCAGCTCACAACCAAACAACACCACATGCTGACAAACCCAGGCAGACACTCCCTACCTTCACAATGAACAAAAACTTTACGGCCTTCTCAGAGGACCAACAGCATTTTCCTAACTAGAATCCTGTGTCTGCAGGAAGATTTTGATTTTTACACACCCCTATTATTTTAATCTTATTATAATGGATCGCCTGTTACTGTTGCTAGTCCTAGATATTCTATGCATGCCCACAGGGAATAGTTTTATTAGTGTAACAAAGCATGTCACGTTATTTAAATTCTGAAACAGAACTGCAGAGTTTGGTGTAGTTATAGTATATTATAGCCAATTTAGAATAGGAAAGGATTAGAAACGCTGTCAAGCTTTTTTTTTGTTGCCTTTGTCCTTGCCTGGTAGATTTACTCTCTGTATTTGTGCTGGTGACCATTGTCTACAAGACAGAACTTGATGTGGATCCAAAATTTTTGAATTGTCACCAGACCAAGAGGTGAGAATACATCTTCAAGTGGGGGCACTGGTTACATTGTCAGTTGTCAAAGGGAGAGTGTCCCTTTTACTGAGATTTCCTCGCTCTTCCTGTTGCGACTCTAGGACATATACAGAAGAAAAATTTCCCCAAACTGCAAAAACAGAAAACTGGCTAGGGTTGGCTGTTATCTGAAATCAAAGAGGTCAATATTGTGTCTGTATCTAAATCAACTATTTATGGAACGAATAGCTCACTACCTTTCTTCCTGCTGGCAATGTGAACTGTCTCCTCTAAACATAGAGTGCATAATCCCATTAAAAATACTGCTGTTCCCCGCAGACACCTATTATAAGGAAGCCCACCCGCCAGGCTGTTTACATCTTCAAATGCTGCAAACTAAATAAACTTAAAGCCCCATTCCAGGCAATATACAGTATGTCCCCTCTCCCACTTCCCTTTAACCAATACTGCAAGAAGTTTTGTTTTTCTAACCTGGTGAAACAAGATATACTTGCCTACGTCCCCTGTTCAGTTCCATTGCCACCACCGTTTCCAGGTGCGGGGACCATAGGTTCCCTACCACCGCATTGTACTGAAGTCACTTCTCTTCTGGATCCTGAGAGCTCCCTGCCACTGAACAGCCAATAGGAAGTGCCCACGTTACGCAGGCAATGATGTGGACGTTTGAAGAAAGGCCCTGCCAGAAGTGAACAAAAGAGAGTAGACTCAGGAGTCGCATGACTGTGGCATTTATTTTTTATATTCTAGCAATCATAGGGAGGTTATGTTTATCCCTGAGGTGGGCTAAAGTGGTCCAGTTTTAAAGCAGTAGGGACTTATCATGGCCATACCGCTGCTTTTTAAACAAACAGGCAAAACACAGAAGGTGACAAACTGAGGGAAAATACAGCCAATTCATATTTAGTTATATCTGACCCATTGTATCTACTTGTTTTAGTTATTAATTTAGTACATTCATATTGGCTTCTGCTTTGACAGCCCATATTTCAGTTTCTCTCTTACAGTAGTAGTCAGTGCACTTTGATCGACTTGTGCTTATGGCTGTAGATATATGTACAAGGTTTATTTATTAAAAATAGTGATTACCCATGACTGTTTTTCAGAAAACCTAGATAAGAAAGAAATAAGGGACCCATCTAAATGTTGCTATCCTCACGTGAGGCCATATATGTTTTTTTTACAGATTAGGGGTTGCTTGGACCCTCAAAGTTGTAATGATTCGAACACTGTGTTTCACTTCAGCAGTCGGACACAGAGGCACGGCTTCACAAAAGAAAATTACAGACTTCTAATACTCTGCCACTAATATACCTTAGTGTTTCCATATAGTTCACGGTGTATAATGGCTGAACTGATCAGCGCTGTACTTGATGTGGTTTTTGGCACAGATGTCAGTTGTGGTCATGTGAAAGAATAAACCCTTATTAACTTTATTAATACTCTTATCCTAATAGCTAGTCATGCTGTCTTTTAATATTATATGTTCCCGTATAGCACATAATGACCATACCCAGGATCTTTGTAAACTGACTGGTCTCATGATAATTTTAACTGAAGACACTAATCTTAGCCTGCCAAGAACTGTTGTTTTATATCCTTGAAATGTTTGTCCTGTAATCATGGTTAGGAACCTTGATTTGGGATTCAAGTTAAATCGGCACGTCAGCAAAGATGTGAAAAATTTTAAAACTTGAGCAGCCTATCGGAAATCCTGTTTCCTGATCTTACTCTATCAGACTGAAATCTGATTAGTTATCACGTTTGCATACAATTACTTTTTACACTCTTATTGAATATATCCATATGAAAGTCCAAAAAGCATAATCCATAGGTGTAATGTCAGTACTGTCCAAAAATATTTCCATTATGTTCAGGTCAGATCAGAAAAGATCAACGTTTCCTTTATTTTGAGTTTTATGTAATCCCTTGCTGAAAGGCATGTCAAAGTGCTTATGGAAGGGCTACAGCCTTTTGACATGTTGTTCTTCGCTGTTTAACATCACGTTTATGCCCTGAAGAGTGGAACCGTGTTACTAGAGTGGAGAGATGAAACTCGGGACCAGAAAACACGGCCTGGCCTACATAGTTATTAACTTGGTTTCAGGACCATCCTGAAGATGGGGATACTGGCAACTATAGATAGAAAGCATGACAGCCAGGTGCAGAAGATAAATATCAGAATGGAAATTGGAACCGTTCAACAGGTTGGCTGTGTCTTCCTCTCTATCAGTTTAAATACGTTTTCCACATACATGAAGAAATGTCTCTACCTTTTAGCAGAGCATTCTGAGCATCTTTGAAGTTTCCAGTCCTTGGCACTCAGCTTTCCCACCCTTTGGGTGGTCTACTGCCACACAACAGAGCCTTTACTGGAAACCAATTGGATTCTGAAGCTCGTTTCTGTCTACCAAAGAATCTGAACAGCACTGCTGGTCCCAGTTAGCCTTGGAGCTGCTTGGTAGCACTGATAAAACAGCTGATTAACAGCGATTCCATGTGTGTCAGTTCTGCAAATAAGCATCTGAAGATACAAGGGAAGAGGTTTTCCACATTGAATATATTTCATAACTGGTTTATAGATGCACTCAACAAGGACATATAGCTACCAGTAATAATTGCTTCTAGTTTGGAGGGCCTGTAAAAGTGAAAGGGCATGTAAACTCATGTGGGAAGAGCTATGTCTGCTTTTGTTGCTTATTACTCTGGTACTTCTAGTGACGAGTACATACAGCTGTCAACACTTTATTTATTGTGCTGTTGCTTTATACAGCACAATGGGAGGTGATAGTGCTATAGCAAGTAATAGTAATAAAGGAAACCAAAGCTGTAATTTCAGATTATCTTAATCTGGAATTACATACCAACACACAGTTAAACATTGAGCTTTGTATGGAAACATTAGAAAAATTACAGTTATGGTAAATTAAACCCAAAAACAAAATTGTAATATATTGCAGGTTACAAATCCTTAGTGGCTGAATTCGTTTGCTCGTTTTCAGGATTTGTTTCCTTTTTATTGTCACCTGAAGTAACACACTTCTTGTCCTAGGGTGATAACACTCACTTACTGCACTCTGGAAGAAGCAGCATTGTCACTCTAGGACAAGACGTGTGCTATTACATCAGAACATCTCCCCTATTTTTATTTCAATAACATGGGATGAGGTATTCTGTAATCTATAGAAAAGAATATCAGTCCTCCCTTTTTTCATTTTGAATCTATAGAAAAGAACTGGGAAGGCTGATAACATTCTTTTGAGATTTAAGTTTAGTGCATAGGAAGTTAAAAGCACACTTGATGTAGCTATAACCTATATCTAAGCACTGATACGCTGCAATAAACTGCATACAAGAGTTAACCCTTTGGGTGTTACAGTTTGTGCATACATGTTTACTATTGATACTTCTATCATAAAATCTTAAGTTAAAGTCTGTTTTACATTTTAAAGCTAATGTCTGCTTTTTTTTCTTTTTCTTACAGAAATCCTAAAGCTGATATTCAAAGAATATACAAAAAGATCAATAATGATGCTACCCTGAGGATACAAAATGTGTCAGTTCTGGTGAAACAAATCAAATCGTACTACCAGGTAAAATATTTGTTCTTACTTAGAAGATGGCTATAACCTTGAATTGAGGCTGTTACTTTTGTGGAGGGTTAAACATACTGTCCCCTTCAGGTCATCTGTATAAGTTCCATGTATTTTAAGAAACATTATTGTATTTAAGAAACATTATTGCAGATTCTTTACCTGCCTCCTGTTTGTAGATAAACCCGTTCACTAACTTCTCACACTGATAAGTGGGAGTTCCAAGTGCTTTTAAGTGACAAACTGCTGTGAAAAGTAGTGAACTAAGTACAAGAGCAGGACTGAGATTTCTGGGGGTGTTGTGCACCTAAGTACTGTATAGAACTCCACCTGTTTCGACTTGATTAGGAAGAAAAAGTGGATATTTCTTTTGAATTAAAATGTTCATTAAGATCTGCAGTGAATGGCACTGAGAAATTTACACCGGGATTTAATTGTTTTCTTTTTAACAATCTTCTAAGCAAAACTTAGCTTTGGGTACAAAATGATACCACAAAATGATATGGCAATCTGCTAAGAAGAGAAGTATATGTAAAACAAAACAATTCTTCCCAATCCTTAGAGCCAGTGTGGGGCACTGCAGCTGATTCATGTCAAGGTCTTTGACAAAGACCTGTAAGGCTAACTTCAGATTCATGAAGTAAGAACACTTTCTTACTTTTGAAAGGGTTTTAAGCCTTGTAACTGTAGGCAATTTTAACCACGTTTAGAGTTTGGCAAATCTGGCACGGACAGGAGTGGCATGTGCCTCTGCCTGCTGAGCTTTGGTTGCAAATTCTCTCTAATTCCTTGGGCTTCATTCACTGTGCAAGAGCCCTGGGGCCATGCTAAAAAATATGAAACGAAATTCTGACTTAGTCATAATTCTGTGCTTAAAATTCTAAGTTTCAAACTCAGAATTCTGACCTTTTAATCTTAGAATTCTGACTTTCAATCTTCAACCAAGGGCTCTTCCGTAATTCACCCCCATAGTGCTGTCTTCCTGTTCGTTCACAAAAAGCTGCTCAAAGCTGCAATAAATCCTTGCATTTTTTTCCTAGTGTTTTCATCACGTTTCAAACACTACAAGATACAGCAGTAATAGTTGGTAAAATGAGTAATAAGTAATAACCTTCAGCCTTATATGCTGGAGTAGATGTGAGTCATTGCATATTATATAGAAACAAAACAGTATGCTCCTATACCACCCCTTATCCTTATAAAAGCATCTATTCTACATCCAGCTCGAGTATAGAAATAATTTCTTGAAAAGGCTGTAATATTTGAAATTGAATACACCATTTATAGCCTGTAATAATAATTTTCATCTGGCGGTAGCCTGTGTTTAGAGATATTGGCTGGATCATAAACATTTTGTAATTAACCTCCTTGGCGGTATTCCCGAGTGTGGCTCGGGGTTAATTTTCAGTATCATAAGCGGTAACCCCGAGCCACACTCGGGATTACAGCGTAGCGTCTCTTACCTTGTCCACTATCCCCGCTGTGTCCTCCGGCTGATGCCGGCATCCGTCTTCCAGGTTCCGTCCCTTTCGAGCGTCCGCATCGCAGGGGGTGGAACCAGCGGGAATTTTTAAAGTAAAAAAAAAAAACGAAAAAAAGATGGAACGAAAAAGGAAAAAAAATATTAATAATCAGACCACCATTGAGGTTAATTTATCTTAATTTTTCCCTTTTTTTTCTTCTTTTTCCAGTTCTGGAAGCCAGCATTTCCAGTAAGAATCAAGGGATTTTTAAAAAAACCATAATTATCTTTATGAAGAGAGTTCCCTTTTTTTTGGACCCAATTGTTGCAAAACAGAGATAAAAGGATATAAACCGATACATGTCTGTTTTACATCCGCCTGCCCATAGACCGAACATGGGTCCGTAAAACTCTGGGGAAAAAACAGAACTGACACGAAAGTGACATCCATTCCGTTCTGCTCCAATTCAGCAGGGGATGTTAACACATCCCCTGCTGATTGGAATGGACACCGCCCATGTGAAAGGGGCCTTACAACAACACAGGCAGAAGTAAAAGCAGTAGATATATGCAAAAAGTGTAAAAAAATAATAAAATCGCTTTAAAAGAGGTTAATACTTACCTGTGTCTTCCCCGTGCGCTCCCGTCCGAAAATGTGCAAATTCTCTGGCGGCCGCAAAGCATCATGGGGCAGGCGCATGCGCAGTCCAGATTTTCGGCCAGTAGACGAGGAGAGACACAAGGTAGGTATATGGACGCATGCACCTGCCTGCAGACACCGTGGGACAGAAAGTGCCAGCAAGGACAGAGGAGACGGCGCTGGATCAGAGACCTGCAGCAGCGCTGGAGAGAAGGCTGAAAACGACAGGAAAGACGAAGATCGGATTAAGAAACATCATTTAAGGTAAGTACTTTACTTAACATTGGGGGAGGGACACATTTTTTTGAGGTTAATGTCCCTTTAAGTAGGGGAATGGTACAGCCTCTGTCAGCTTTTATTGTCTGTTTCCTTGTTGCAGATTTTCCCTCACTTCCTGTCTAGTGAAATTATGTCCCCAGAAATTGAGGGAAGATCTCAATAATGGAGCCCCAGATAGCAGTAAAACCTTACAGGTGTATTAAGGTTTTCCCATTCTATGTAAAGCTTTAAAGCTGGCACTTTTGTTTATTATTAATGAGGCCATTTAGTGCCATGAGTGGATGTAAACATTAGCAGGATAGAGATTCTGGTGTTCCTTATGAAGAGAGATGTAGGTCTGTCTATGAAAGCCCTATACATTTTGAAGTTTATTATTATTACTACAGGTATTTATATAGCGCCGACAATTTACGCAGCACTTTACAAAGTTGCACATTCACATCAGTCCCTACCCTCGAGGAGCTTACAATCTAAGGTCTCCTCCAGGACACTTGTCTAGTGTAAAAATCCCAACCATCAAAGAAGAGTTATGATGAAGAGTCATGATTATGCTGTTGCTGCTGCCTTTGTGGACTCAAAGCACAGTGCTTGTTGGTGACTGCAGAGCTTGTCATCAGGCACTTCCTGTAATAAAATCTAATCTGCAACTGCTGTATACATGAAACCAGCCATTTTCCTGTATAAAAGTTGTGTGTTGACACCACCACAATGAGTATCCCTGTTGTGGTATTGGACACATTTCTGCTGCGCACAGCAGTGTGAAGGGTCATTAGCTGTGGATACTGATTAAAGGGGAAGTCAGACTTTGCTTTGTTTTTAAACAACACAAAAGTCACAGAACTACCATGAGGCAACATATGTTTTTAACTACATGATGCTAAAAGAACATCTAAACTTTATTACGGCTCGTTCACACTATAAGCAGTGACTAGCATTATTCAGCAGCTGAACAACATCAGTCACCACTAGGGCACATAACAAATAATTGTGTTCTATGTGTCCCATTAATACCACAATGTAAGTGTGATGTGCAATGTGGTGCTACAGTCTGCATTTATTCGCTGCACACTATGTTGCACCGCAGGTACTCGCATCGCAGCGCACACTGTGCTGCTGTGCAAAGACCTGAATGGATTGTACACTTTGCACACTGAATAAAGTTTAAAAAAAAGTAAACTGTGTGATGCACTTGTAGCACTCACCACCGAGGGAGTCGCCAGAAAAACCCGGGTCATCAATTGTTGTCTAGTGGTTTTGGTCTTCAGCTGCCCCATTCGCTTTTAACTGCCCACAAAGCTGATCTCCAAGCCAGAAGTATAATGCTGAAAAACTTTTACTAACATCTTTTACCCTGGGGAGAGAGAATATAGGGATCCTAGACATCCAGGGTAGTACAGACATAGACTCCAGACTCACCAGTCCCTTCTAGCAATTCAATGTAGATCCATTCGTAGTACAGCAAATAGGAATTTGAGTAGTAGATGAACAGGGATGAGCACAGATCCTCAGCAGGAGAGACACCAAACTTGCTCCTGAGGTCCACTTTGTTCTCCGCACGTCCAGCAGCCATCAGCTTCCCTGGTTCTCCTCCTCTGACAACAGCACAGGCCTCCTCCAATGCTTGAGGCCTAACAAAACACTTCCCGTGCTCCAGCATCCCAACCCCCAGGCCTAGTCTGGGGGGTGGCTGGACATGACCCCAACCTGGACTAATCCAGGTTGGGATTATGTGGGAGGGCAGCAGGCATAGTGGCATGGCCATTCTGTTGCGCAATGTTTGCAGTGTGCCTGCCCAACCCCTTTCTAGCTAGAGCATCCCAGGTTACTAAGAGCCAGGGCGGGGAGATGTGTAAGGGCCATACACTTCTCCCTGCCCAGCTCTTGGCAACCTGGGGCACTCTGGCCAGCTTCCCGTTCAGCTCCTAGCAACCATTGTAATCGCTTATTGCCAGCAGCTGAGCTGGAGCCAGACCTGGGCACACAAACCCCCCCCCCTCCACCGCTTAGTGTGCTCCACCAGCAAACCCCCACCCCCCTAATGTAACGAAGTGTGTCCTGTGCCTATATATTATGTGCTAAAAGGTTCCTAGCCCTGAAAGTAAAAAAGGATGTATTTGTAACAAGGATAACATTTCCTGGACCGTGGCATCCAGATCATTTTTATCCCTTAGTTTATGGTCAGCAATTCCTAAAGAGAACACTTTGCTAGCAACTGAATTATATAAAAGGTAAAGTGGCCATGTATTTTTGCCTTCTCTAAATGGAAAAGAAAAAGCCCTGGGTATGTTATCCCTCAGCTTGATACTAGAACAATGAACTCATCAGTTATCTGCACGCCCATTTGAAATAGACCACTGGCCTTGCACAGTAATTGACCTGCCTCAGCATTTTCTGCATACTTCACATGCTGTGCAGGATTGTATTCTTCAGGAAGCTTTCTGAGCAACAGTAGCTGACTAAGGTTTAATCTACTCTGAGAGAGGGATGAGTTTTCCTATTCCTCTTCTTTAGTGAGGACAGATGAATCCTTTTTGTATTGGGAAGTATTACTTGAGTGTCTCTCTGGAGCAGACAAATCTGATGTCTTTATGTAGACCTTTTACACCATCTGAAATAAGT